CTGATAACAATTTACGGTGTTGTAACCATTTACTGAAAAAATGTCATGTGCCATTTCGCCAATTGGTGGAACTGTACAAATTCTGGGCGAAACGGCATTGACACTTCGCCAATTGGCGAAACGGCATTGACACTTCGCGAATTGGCGAACGGCACATGACATTTCGCCATGGCGAATTGTCTTTTGGCGAATCGTCTCTTGGCGAAACGGTTTTTTACCTTTCTTAATATTGGTAATTTTATTCTTGCTATAAAAGCATTTTTAACAGCACGGCAGATCGCACGAAGAGTAGACAATGGTCTTATATCGATTCTTTTTGAAATCGAAGTTCGTCAGGGCACACATTTACTAAATATTAATGATAATCGAGTTATATTTCCTCTTTGTTCAATATTTCATCTAGAATCGATTGATCTATCACCTGATGGTGTTTGGTGTGTGAAAATAAAATCTGCTGATGCTGAATTTCAACTTATTAAAAAAACAAATTCACTTAGAGATTGGAATACAATGAATTGCATATCATTGGTCGACAACACAGTTTGTCGACAGCTATTGTGTCGACAGGCACTTCGTCGATAATATTTTTGTCGACAAGAATTTTATAATTATATTATATTTATAATTATTTTATAACATTATAAGGAAGCAATAGAGTCATCTAAAAACGATCAATATCGTCGTTACTATCAAAAGATGATTTTAACTATTAAAAAACAAAACAAAACTAATGATACATAAAATAAATCCCTTTTTTTCATCATTTGTTTGTATTTTTTGGTCGACAACACAGTTTGCCGACAGATAGTTTGTTGACAAATTATGCGTCGACGAAAAATTGTCGACAAAATAACCCGCCGACAAGATATTCTTTCGACAACCAAGTGTCGCCAAAAAATTGTCTGACATAAATTAATTGTCGACAAAAATTAGTCGACGAATGATATACATACCGATACAATTATTATGGTTAACTTATGGAAATTATTTATCTTTTCTTAATCGATTTAGTCAAGGCATTGTTTACTTTAAATATTTACTTGACAAGCTTCCAAAAGAAGATGCTTATTGTGCATCTATTCATAACAATATGGGATTGATGTATACTAAAAAATATGAAGAAAATAAAGACAATTATCAACGTGACGAAGAGGAAGAAAATTACTACAAGAAAGCAATCGAGGCATATGAAAAAGCCTTAAAATATGTCAAACAGATCAATTCTAGCTCAGTTAATGATGAAAGTAAAGATCAATCATACGATCAACTCTCAACAATTGGTGTAATGCCATCAGATACCAGCATTGACCGTTCCAAAGCACTGGGAACATTGCAAACATACATCATCAAAGACATAAATATGAATTAGCCATCAAATATTATAAGGAAGCAATAGAGTCATCTAAAAACGATCAATATCGTCGTTACTATCAAAAGATGATTTTAACTATTAAAAAACAAAACAAAACTAATGATGCATAAAATAAATCCCTTTTTGTCATCATTTGTTTGTATTTTTTAGTCGGTAATATCAACAATTTTCAATGGTAATATCAACTTCGAAGCAGCCATTTATTGATATTTGGTTTCATGATAATAACTTATCGAATGATCAAATAACATAACATGAAACGTTACCTAAATCGTACATTTCATTATTATCGTATTTTTGTTTGCAAGAAGAAGTTTATAAAATATATTATTAAAAAGTCACTTGTTGCTAAAGTATTTCTTATTATTTCGCACTTTAAACTATACGCTTCATTAATAAAATTGGTACAAAATCGACAAACATTGTTCTCGCACAATATTAGCACAAATCATCTGCTTGGTTTTCGATCAAGTTACTATCGACTCTTACGGTAAATATAAGCAACGGATAGAGTAGAGCGATAAGTGAGTCGAAAGGACAACTGACAGACGCAGATAAATAAACTCTGTTGTTTTAAGCTTTATTCTTCAGAATACAAGCGGAATACAAAATATTCGATTATAGTATTCTAAACCAAAACTATCGAAACACAAAAGCAATTTTGTACGAATACAGATTCGAACACATGAACTTACTTTTGCAGTTTACTGCAAAACTAAATCCACTGTTCTAATATGTATAAATAAACTCTGTTACAGTCGAACTTGTTAGATAAAAGAGATAAGGATACATCCTGGTGGTTACCTGCGCATTTTTCGGGATTGATTTGCCTGCCTAGCTTTCATTTGTTGCTAGATCATTCTATTTTTCAACGAAAACATTGGAAATGGCATCATCGAACAAATAACGAGTAAAGTAGCCTGGAATAGAGACAAGTCGGATCTCTGAGAAATTTGAAAAACGCCTTGTTTCATTTCAGTTATCTCGACAATAAATTCTT